CTCTCTTTCTCTCTATCCCTCTCTCTCTCTCTTTCTCTCTATCTCTATCCCTCTTCCTCTTCTCTATTACTCTTCCCTCTCTTTCTCTCCTATCCCTCTCTCTCTATCTCTATCCCTCTCTCTCTCTATCTCTATCCTCTCTCTCTTTTCTCTCTCTCTATCCCCTCTCTCTCTCTTTCTCTCTATCTCTCTCTCTCTCTCTTCTCTCTATCGTCTCTCTCTTTCTCTCTATCCCTCTCTCTCTTTCTCTATCCCTCCTCTCTCTTTCTCTCTATCCCTCTCTCTCTTTCTCTATCCCTCTCTCTCTTTCCTCTCTCTCTCCCTCCTCTCTCTCTCTCTCTCTCTCTCTCTCTCATCTCTCCTCTTCTCTCATCTCTCTCTCTCTCTCTCTCTTCTCTCTCTCTCTCTCTCTCTCTCTCTCCTCTCTCTCTCTCTCTCTCTCTCTCTCTCTCTCCTCTCTCTCTCTCTCTCTCTCTCTCTCTCTCTCTCTCTCTTAATGGCAAGATCTATTGTTACCTCACTACTTAATATATATGCATAAATGCATGTATATCAATACATACATAATCACTTTCTCCAATGTTATAACTCAACATGAGGCACGTTTAATATGACAGGAAATTTCAAAACTTCATAATACTTTTGATAGTAGAACATCTATCATCTAATTCAAAAAGTTTAATACAGCAATGACATTACTATCTATACTGTAAGTCACAAAATAATTTCTAGGAGCAAGAATCATCCCCAAATTTTATCCTAATATAGTTTCTTTTTAATTTTCCAGTAAATATAGAAGTGATCCTGAAATCTTGTACTAATTTATTCTCTCCCATGTCTTATAATGCACACTATCTTTCTGTCTTTAACCAGATAATTTCAAGAACCTGGTTATAAATCATACATGGAGACTACTACATTTAGTGTGAAAATTTGCAACAGATCTGTTTCCTGGAGATTCTATTTCTTGTGACCATTATAAAATTATCTGTATTATCAGGTAACTTTCAAAATGTAATAATGAATGAAAAATGTATAAGAACATCATGCAGGATTCAACAATTAAAACTTTCTGAGTATAGAAATTAAGGCTAAATGCTTTTCTCTTCAAGCTGTTAAAAATGCCTGTGGCATAAGAGGCACATACACTATTAAGATGATAATGAGTAACCTTTTCAGTTCTGAGATTTGCTGACCTGAACCTCTGTATTCAGATTAAGTACTGTATTATCTACCACTGACAAAAGAGTATCACACATTATGGCACTGTAATTAATGTCAAAATGGGATGACCTGATATGGCACAAGAAATATGTTTACTCACATCATTTTCCCATCAAGCAAACATGCCAAAAAACTATTATAAAATATATTCCATGCACTGCATCATGGTGTTTACCTATGAGCAAAGAAAATTTGGGCAAACCAAATTCCACTTGTTACCCAGAATACAACATTGAGCAGTGTTTAACCTCAAAAAAGATACTTGAGCTTTGGCGCACTCCAATCTAATGCTTGGTAGCACTAGATTCAGTGCATTGTTTAACTATCACACAATCCCATCCACAAACTTCTATCAAGACACTGGCACACAAATAAAAATGTCTATTTACATATCTCATATAAATACACTCTCTAGCCTATATATACATATAAATCAATATGTGCCCCAACACTTTGTTACATCTGTGTGCCTAGACATTGCATTACAATTAGAGCTGTACTGTTTATCTCAGTCCTTTCAATTTTATCAATTGACAATTTTGATTCAAGTATTTTCTATGGAAAAAGTAGCTTCCAAGTCTGAGCATGGGAATGAAACGTTATATATGAAGACATTCTTACATAAAAATAATTTGAAGATTATGAGGTTTCATACCTTTTCAACTGAATCAGTTTTAAGTTTTCCATCAGCTGATTTGGGGTATATAATGAGCAAGTGAGCACAGGGTGGAATACAGAATAAACAACCACACTGTTGGGCTGTTAAAAGTTGTATGGGTTAAGCCTCTACATGGATGAGCTGCCACGTGAGTAGCTTATAGCTTGGGTAAACCAAGTCAGGAAAGCCAAAATAGTATAACACTGCCTTCACATCAAGTTGCTTTATCAGGCAAGAGTACTTGTATGTGATCTGACAAACTAACTGCAGCATTACCTGAAGGACTGATCTTGGTTTCCAAAAGTTACTTTAGCTTACCTTATAACTTTGCTCCACACTTAAATGGCTTGACATTATGTGGTAGCAAGTGAGCTACAGCCACTTAACGCTACACCACTGCTACTATTAGACAACGTGTAGGCAGGTGACACAAAAGTCCCTCGCATACGCCCTCTTGGGGGCCCTAACCCTCTGGCAGTGACAACAGGACTTGCTGAGGCTGATGCAGGTCCAAGTCGATAAGTCCGCACAGGCACTGGACTTGGACATGCAGAAACTGATCTCTGTGGAGGACTCCGGTGGCTAACCAAGGGGCTGGCAGATGATGGGAACTGAATGGCTGGCTGGTTATCCTGCTGCTGCCAACTCTCAATGTACAGATTTGTGTCAACTGATGAAGCAGGACCCAGTACTCTTCGTTGTTCTGCAAAGAGGTAGATCAATTGGAAACAAAAGTATATAGAGACAAATACTCCTTATATTCAAAATATGGAACTACACACAAACTGGGTCTCCATAATGGATTTCCAGTTCTTCTTGACTACATAACATGATATTTCAAACATTTAGATTCCTTCCAATTTGTGTTAATTTACATCATTTGAGAGAATTATTTGATCTAGTTCATATCAAATCAATGCCATACCAAGTAGAACCAAAGGCTTGTACCACCCTTGGAATTTGTAATTTGTTACTGACATATCTTATCTGGAAATATTAGTCAATATTTTCAATAAGATAATGATAAAACAAAAAGGTAATTAATTCAATTTCCAACAGATTCCTCCAACCCTTCTCTTATATCCTGGCAACACAAGTGACTGAGTAGGACATAAAGGCATGAAATAATAGGATAATTATTTTGTCCATCTGACACACAACAGCAATCGCAGTAGTATTTTTCATACTTAAAACCACAAGCTAAAGGAAAGTAAATTGCTGTCTAATATGCAATGAAAGTTTTGGTTTGTTGATTGTCATGTCACACAAACAAATACCAGCTACTCAAATAACATGACTTGTTATATGAGCATACATGCACATATACTTACATTTTTTTTTGGATGCATTCATTTAAGCACGAAATGAATGAGTTTGCAAAAACTTTGCCAACTCAAATTACTCAACTACCTGACTCAGTGCCTAGGTGATGAAGAAAAACTGATCAAAGGGGCACTTGTGGTTAACTATTCAACTTCCATGCTTGCCATAATCTCATTTATCTCTTCTAATAATGGTAACAATAGTTAATATCTTTTAAAAATTCAAATGATATTCTTGTTTTTACTTTGAGATTCTCTGAATAACTATTAACTAACAAAATACACTCAGAATGGTTCTTCATGAACATCAATTTCTTATCTAAAGAGGAAAGTAACAAGAATCTAAAGGTTTCATGTAAACGAACACCCTAAAATAAATCATTAATTCTTCTATATCCACAAAACAGCAAATGGAAAAAGAAAGAGAGAGATATGGAAAGGCTTACCCAGCAGCCTGTCCATTGTGAAAGGAATTGGTGGGTACACTTGGCCAGGCATTCGCTCAGAGTCCTGCACTGATGGTCCACTGGTTACAACTGCACTTGGTGATGTAACAATGGCTGTACTTGTAGCAATTCTTGCACCTGTCGCGGCATACGGATTCTGGACAACCGCAGTTCTTGGTGTAGTTGTAGAATTTTCTGAGTAGCTGTGGCCATAACCGTTACATCACCACTACTTTCTTCAGGCATAGTTTCACCTACTCTTTCTGTAAAATACAAACACAATATCATGAAGTCAGAGGAAAACACAATTACTGTACTTGGAAAGTTTCCCATGCACTAATATTACATAAAAAAAAAGAAATTATATATATATATATATATATATATAATATATATATACATATATCTACATATATACATATATATACATATATACATATATATACATACATATATATATACATACATATATATATATATACATACATACATACATATAATACATACATATATATATTATATACATACATATATATATACATACATACA